AGAGTGGGGAATATGCCAGGCAATAGGGTTACAGATTTTGTTGGAGTACAAGAGTGAATTAGATGGGTTCAGAAATGTCAGTGAAGGAAATTTGCCATCCAGTCTACATGTGACTCCAGACTCGCAGACAAAGTAGCTGACCATAAATGCCCTCTGAAGTACATAAAGAGTTTATTTCCAGGGCAACTAGGGATGGATTACAAATGCCAACCTCGAGTAGTGCACATGTCCACACAATAACATAATTAATTACATCTAATAACACAGGAGAGGCATATGGAAAACTGCAAACACACTGCATACAAACCTTTCAACTACAACAAAAACATTCTGAACTTTCCCCACTGTAATGGACTCTTCACATCCTCATTGTTATATTTCACCCCACGGGGAGTGTCTGGCCACATATTCACCCCATCTCCATGACTGCCCAATTTCACTTCTGTTGCATTATTTGATTTTCTCTGTCCCAGCTCATCAGCTGCTAAAATTCATGCCTGTTGTCACCCCAAAACACTCCTGGCTCATCTCTTTCACTCAAATCTCTGGATCTAAAACTCTTTGCTAGTGTCAACATTCACACCAGTGCTCTTCATTGATTGCTGGTGTCCTCACCTACCTAGTCCAGCTCTTGGGTTAAGCAACAGCTCAATTTTAAAATTCACATCCTTGTTTTCAAATTCCTCAATGGCCTTGCCTCTCCCTATGTCAGTATTTACTGCAGTGTCACAGCCCTTTGGGATCACTGCTCCTATGCTGGTTAATATGCCCTCAGCTGGCTGAACTCCTGAAGACCATCCCTAACCCTCTCCATCGTGGCCATCTCTTGCCAGATGTTCTTTAATCTAAACTTTTCATTATCTATCCCAATACCTCCTTGTGTAGCTTGGGATCAAATTTACTTTATGATCCTGTAAAACATGTTGGGACAATCATGTTAAGGTGCTATGTTAATAGAGTTGTTGTAGAATATATGAATTGTTCATGTGGGATTTGATACCAGCATTGAGATACTTTCAGTTGTCGAGTGACAGCAAGCCTTTGACACTGTCCTTCAATCAGGAGTTCACACCACAGCGCCAGGCCAACTAGTCCATTTTAGTGTTCCTCCTCCCCTCGAACCCCTCTCCTCAGTCACCATATGTAGGGCATTTTAAATATATTCTAGTAGTCCATTAATTCTTTTCAAAACATTAAATAAGAGACCTTGGGGTACAGGTTCATAGTTTGTTGAAAGCGTAGTCACACAGACAGGGTAGTGAAGTAGGCATCAGGTACATATACCTTTATAATTGGGATGTCAGGTTGCGGCTGTACAGGACATTGGTCAGGCAGCTTTTGGAATACTGCATTCAGCTCTGGTCTCCCTGCTATAGCAAAAATATTGTGAAACTTGAAAGGGTTCAAAAAAGACTTACAAAAGATGTTACCTGGTTTGGAGGGTTTGAGCTATAAGGAGAGGCTGAATAGGCTGGGGCTATTTTCCCTGGAGCATCAGAAGCTGAGGGGTGACCTTATAGAGTTTTATAAAATCATGAAGGGTGTGTGAGTAGGGTGAATAGCCAAGGTCTTTTCCCCCAAGGTAGGGGAGTCCAAAATTAGAGGGCATAGGTTTAAGGCAAGAGGGGAAAGATTTAAAAGGGACTGAAGGGGTAACTTTTTCACACAGAGGGTATGTGTAGGTATGGAATAAACAGCCAGAGGTGGAGGAGGCTGGTATAATTACAATATTTAAAACGCACCTGGATAGGTACATGAACAGGAAGAGCTTAGAGGGAAGGACCAAATGCTGGCAAGCGGCACTAGATTAATTTAGGATATCTCGTTGGCATTGAGTTGGACTGAAAGGTCTGTTTCCGTGCTGTACATCTCCATGATTCTATAAGAATCTCTGCCAGGCCATCCTTAAGTCTTTTCCGTTTGAAGGAAAAGAGCCCCAAACTGGTCAAGTGTTTCCTGATAAGGACATCCTGTCAGTCCTGGTGTCATCCTGAGAATTTCTGTTTTAATCCTTATCTAGTGTCTCTATCATTTTTATAACAAAGACTAGAACCGGACACATGACTCTAAGCTTGGTCTAAGATTCTAATCAAACCTAACATAATGCTTCTTCTCCTCAATAATTCCTAGAAATGACCCCCAGGTACTTGAGAGTTTTTAAGATGCTTTTATTTACCTATGATCTTGCTTTTAGTGATTTGTTTATCTGTACCCTGAGAGTCCTCCACTTATTTTCAAGTATTTGCAGTTTATTTGTTCTAGGCCCTTACCAATACTGAAGTTAAATTTGCTAATTACATGCACATTTGCAAATTTAGGTTACTGTCACATTCTGTTAATTACCATTTGAATTTTAACTCATTCATCAATTTTGAAACTCAATTGCTGAATCCTAATTATTTATGGAGACAGTGGACAAAAAGGAAATACAATCCTGAAAGGGGCACGGGAGCAGAGGATCCTGGGTATGTGTACACAGATCATTGAAGACGACAGGACAGGTGGAGATAGCAGTTCATAAAGCATACAGTGCTCTCAGCTTTATCAACAGGGGAATAGAGTACAAGAGCAGGGAGATGATGTTAAACTTGTGCAAGACACTGGTTATACCTCAGCTGGAGTACTGTATACAGTTCTGGGCACCACATTACAGGAAGATTTGAACACCGTGGACAGACAGTGCAAAGGTGATTTCTAAGAATGGTCACAGGAATTAAAAACTTCGGTGATGAGGATAGGTGGAAGTTGAGACTCTTTTCCTTGGAGAGAAGGCAGCTAAGAGGAGATTTGATAGAGGTTTTAACAATCATGAGTGGGCTCGATCGAGTAGATAGGGAAAAGCTGTTCCCACTCAGAATCCCTACAGTGTTGAAGTAGCCCATTTGGCCCATCCAATCTACACTGACACTCCGAAGAGCATCCCATCCCTGTAACCCTGCATTTCCCATGGCTAACCCACCTAACCTACACATCCCTGGGCACTACGGTCAATTTACCATGGCCAATCCACCTAACCTGCACATCTTTGGACTGTGGGATGAAACCAGAGCACCTGGAGGAAAACTATGCAGACACAAGGAGAACGTGCAAGTTCCACACACTCACCCGAGTGTGGAATCAAACCTTGGTGCTGAGAGGCAGCAGCACTGAACCACTGTGCCACCTCATCACTCAAAGAAAAAGATACTGTGAAGAAACAAATTTAAAATGATGTGCAAAGAGAAGCAAGGATTAACTGAGAAACCTTTTTTTTTTAAAACACAGCAAGTAATTATGGTCTGGAATGCACTGCCTGGAAATGCAGTGGAGGCAAGTTCAATTGAGGGATTCAAGGAGGGCATCGGATGGTTATTTAGATAGAAATGGTGTGCAAGGGTGTGGGGAGAAAGGCTCGAGCTTGGCACTAGATAACAGAACAGTGCAGGCACCATGGACTGGATGGCCTCCATCTCTGCTATAACAATTCTGTGATTCTGTGAACAATAGCACCTATAACAATCTATAGCAATCTATAACAATCCCTGTGTAATACCACTTCCCACCATTTACATCACTAAACCTGTCCAAGACGTAGGAGTAGAAGTGGGCTATTCAGCCAATTGAGTGTGCTCCTTCTGTTTTTCCTTATTTTCCAGACACTGCTATCTGTTCTGGTCTCCTGACTCCACGTTCTAACATTAAGAGCTGAATTTTACACTCTCCTGCACAGGGGGAAAAGGGCCAGTAATATTCCCCAGGTGGTCTTTCCACTGCACTCTCATTCATCCCTCCCCCTTAGTCTGCAATCTTATGATGAGACGACTGAGGTCTATACTGTTCCACTGTGTCCCAATTGAGGTCTTTAAGTGAGCATTTAATGCCCACTTAATGGGTGTTTCCTACTTGGCCTCAATGTTGACACTACCGAGCCATATTAAAGGAGTAGCCCAATAAGTCCTCCTGATGAGGCCTCGGACACCAAAGAAGGGGTCCCTGCTGTAGTGAAAATGTTCCTACACAGGACAACTACTCCAATACCCAGAAAGGTCTACATTCCCACCCAGAGCCTGTCTGCCAAGACTCCCACTTAACACAGGCCTTCTGTCTGTTACATCACTGTCAGACCGGCTCAGAGACTCCCAGCAGTGAGGGCAAAATCCTACTTCCTGACAATTCACGATCTTAAAAAGGATTAAACAAGTGTGGGGCAGTGTGTATGGATAGGGGATGCATTCCTCCACCATCAACCTGCACTAGGAAATACACCCCAGTCAAAAAAAAACCCATTCCAAGTTAACGCAACAAAGGCTTTCTGAACAATCCAAATACATTATATCTACCACATGACCCTTAACGTTCCTAGAAGACCAGTCAGACATGACCAATCCCTTTTGCAACGTGTACTGACTGCTGTAATTATATTCTTGATTCATTGTTTTTAAAAAAAATCTCAAAGCCAAATGAACTTATTTACACAACAATCATAAAATTTAAACAACACCCTCGATTTGTTCTCTCTTTATACATTAGGCTGTTCCTAACATTTACAACAGTTAAATGTTTTTCTATTTACCTTTTCACCAAAATACTGCTATTTCTAGCTCAATGTTTCACCGTCTCCAATCATCACTTTTTTTTGGAAAAGTGTTCGAGAACTTTACGTTCTGCCACAGGAAATTCAATGAGAAGTATTAAACTAGACATTTTGTGGGTAAACAGAACTCATTAAAACCACTGTTTGAATCTCTATGAATTAGATTTTCCCGTTTTTTCCCCCCAATTTAACCCACCCCACGCCTTAGTCTAAAAACTTTTACTTGTTTATAGCTGCAGCTCCCCTAGACGTTGTGCCTCCGGTCTTTCCCTGGTAGGGCACTAGGACTCGCGGCCACCCCACCGCTGGCTCGGTGACCACCGCCCTGCTTTGTGAGAGCCGGAGCCCTCGGAACCCTCCTCCCCCTGGGTCCTTCCTCCCGCCGGCCACCACCCCTACCCTGCCCAGAACCGCGCTTCTCACTGACTTTCTCCCGCAGTTCGCGCTCCTTGTCCAGCTCCCGCTGAAGCCGCTCGGCCCGTTCCTCCGCTTCGTCCGCCTGTTGCTGCAGGCTCTGGATCTTCCGCCGCACTGACTCCAGAGAAGTGGCTCCGGCCATGCTGTGAGGATAATCTCTCTTTTTCTCTCTCTCTTACTCACTCACACTCTCTTTCTCCCTGTTCCTTTCTCTCTGTCCCTCTCACTCTATTTCTCCCTCTCTCACACACTGTTTCTTACTTTCTCTCGCACTCTTTCTTTCTTTCTTTCTTCCTGTGTGTCTCTCTCCTTCCTTCTCTCTTTCTGGCGGTCGAATGAAGAGGGGATTTGCCAGTCACTGACTCACTCACACACCAATGGGAGCAGCCCCTATTATACCATAGGGAGGGCACTTCCACGCTAAAATATGGAACTTTTGTCCTTATTTGGGAATGAGTGGGGGGAAAAAAGGGTGGGAAGTGTCAGAGAAGCTCGAAAGAGCGAGCTCAGCCCAGAGGAAAGTTTCAGCCCTTTGCTTTTTTTGAAAAAAATATAAACGAGCCTTAAACGCCCTCTTCCTGCTTTCACCAGCATCTGCGGGAAATGTAGGTTAATTCTTTCTGTTTTCAGACCTCTCTCTCTACACAAACTGAACTCCTACTTCTGGTCTCATTCTTTTCATACTATCATTTCTGATACTCACTCTAGCCCATGGCGCTCTGAATTCTGTTCTCTCAGATCTATCCCTAACATTGTCACTGTTTTTTAAAAAGCGGTCTGGTTTTGTTGGAACTGACCCCTACTTCAAGCACAGGCTGAAGACCAGCTCTGACTGCCCCCAGGAGTATGACCACACCTTCCAACCTAACATTAAGTATTTTCCAAAACTATCCAAGACCTCATCATCTCCTCTGAAAATCTTTCCCTCCCCTGCGCCTACAACACTGAGGAAAACAAAACTCCTTGGGACACATCATCATCATGTCTCATCATAGGGTGGAAAGAGACCCTTTGGCCTAACTTGTCCGTGCCAACCAGGTTTCCCAAATTAACTAGTCCCATTGCCTTCGTTTGGCCCATAACTGTCTAGACCTTAATTTTAAAAAAAAACTGTGGAGCTGTAAATCAGAAACAAACACAGAAATTGATGGAAAATCTCAGCAGGTCTGACAGAATTTGCGGAGAGAAATCAAAGTTAACGTTTCAGGTCCGGTGACCCTCAGAACTCATTATAAGCCAAACGGTACCTAGCTACCATCAGTTCTGAGGAAGTGTCATAGAGATATACAGCACGGAAACAGACCCTTCAATCTAACTCGTCCATACTGACTAGATATCCTAAATTAATCTTGTCCCATTTCCCAGCATTTGGCCCATATCCCTCTAAACCTTTCCTATTCATATACCCATCCAGATGCCTTTTAAATGTTGTAATTGTACCAGCCTCTACCCCGTCCTCTGGCAGCTCATTGCATACACATACCACCCTCTGCGTGAAAAAGTTGCCCTTTAGGTCCTTTTAAATCTTTTCCCTCTTAAACCTACTCTCTCTAGTTTTGGACTTCCCCCACCCTGGGGAAAAGATCTTGTCTATTTACTCTATCAATGTCCTTCATGATTTTATAAACCTCAATAAGGCCACCCCTTGGCCTCTGATGCCCCAGGGAAAATGGCCCCAACCTATTCAGTCTCTCCCTATAGCTCAAACCCTCCAGCCCTGGCAACATCCTTGTAAGTATTTTCTGAACCCTTTCAAGTTCACAACATCCTTCCTATAGCAGGGAGACAAGAATTACATACTATTCCAGTAGTGGCCTAACCAATGTCCTGTACAGCTGCAATATGACATCCCAACTCCTATACTCAATGCACTGACCAATGAAGGCAAACATACCAAACGCTTTCTTCACTATCTTATCTACCTGTGACTCCACTTTCAAGGAACTATGAACCTGCACTCCAACATCTCTTTGTTCAGCAACACTCCCCAGGACCTTATCATTAAGTGTATATAAGTCCTGTCCTGATTTGCCTTTCCAAAATGCAGCACCTCACATTTATCTAAATTAAAATCCATCTGCCACTCCTCAGCCCATTTGATCAAGATCCCGTTGTACTCTGAGGTAACCTTCTTTGCTGTCCACTGCACCTCCAATTTTGGTGTCATCTGCAAACATACTAAACATACCTCCTATGTTCACATCCATATCATTTATATAAAAGATGAAAAGCAGTGGGCCCAGCACCAATCCTTGTGGCACGCTACTGGTCATGGGCCTGCAGTCTGAAAAGCAACCCTCCACCACCAGCCTCTGTCTTCTACCTTTGAGCCATTTTCGTATCTAAACGGCTAGTTCTCTCTGTATTCCGTGTGATCTAACCATGTTAACCAGTCTACTATGAGGAACCGTGTCGAATGCCTTACTGAAGTCCATATGAACAATGTCTACTCATCAATCGTCTTTGTTACTTCTTCAAAAAACTCAATCGAGTTAGTGAGATATGATTTCCCACACACAAAGCTATGTCAACTATTCCTAACCAGTCCTTGCCTTTCCAAATGCATGTAAATCCTCTCCCTCAGGATTCCCTCCAACAACTTGCCCATCACCAATGTCAGGTTCACCGGAGTATAGTTCCCTGGCATTTTCTTACCACCTTTCTGAAATACTGGCACCACATTAGCCAACCTCCAGTCTTCTGGCAACTCACCTGTGGCTAACGATGATACAAATATCTCAGCAAGGGGACGAGCAATCTCTTCCCTAGCTTCCCACAAAGTTCTAGGGTACACCTGATCAGGTCCTGGGGATTTATCCATCTTTACGTGTTTTAAGAGATCCAGCACCACCACCTCTGTATTATAGACATTTTTCAAGATGTCGCTGTTTATTTCCCCATGTTCTCCATCTTCCATAGCTTTCTCCATAGTAAACACTGATGCAAAATACCCAGTTAGTAACTCACCATCTTCTGCAGTTCCACACATCGGTGGCCTTGCTGATCATTAAGGGGCCCTGTTCCCTCCCCAATTACCATTTTGTCCTTAATGTATTTGTAGAATCCCTTTGGATTCTCCTTAACCCTATTTGCCAAAGCTCTCCTGATTTTCTTCTTAAGTATACTCCTGCTGCCTTTATACTCTTCTGGCATTTATTTGACCTTTGCTGTCTATACCTGACATATGCTTCCTTGTTATCCTTGACTATTCACTAGCCATCCAGCATTCCCTGCACCTTCCAGCCTTGCTCTTCACTCTAACAGGAATGTACTCTCTCTGGACTCTTGTTATCTCATTTTTGAAGGTTGCCATTTTCCAGCCATCCCTTTACCTGTGAGCATCCACCCTCAATCAGCCTTGGAAAGTTCTTGGCTAATACTGTCAAAATTGACCTTCTTCCAATTTAGAACTTTAACTTTTAGATCCAGTCTATCCTTCTCCATTACTATTTTAAAATTAATAGAATTACGATCATTGGCCCCAAAGTGCTCCCCCACTGACACATCAGTCACCTGCCCAGCCTTATTTCCCAAGAGTGGGTCAAGTTTTGCACCTTCTCGAGTAGATACAACCACATACTGAATCAGAAAAATTTCTTGTACATACTTAACAAATTCCTCTCCATCCGAGCCCTTAACACTATGGCAATTCTACTGTGTGTTTGGAAAGTTAAAATCCCTTACCATAAACACCCTATTATTCTTACAAATAACTGAGATCTCGTTACAAATTTGTTTTTCAATTTCCCACTGACTACTGGGGGGTCTGTAGTACAATCCCAATAAGGTGATTATCCCTTTCTCATTTCTCAGTTCCAACCAAACAACTTCCCTGCACATATCCCCAGGAATATCCTCACTAAATACAGCCATAATGTTATCCCTAATCAGAAACGCCACTCCCCTGTCTCTTGCCCCCCTTTTGATCCTTCCTGTAGCACCTAGACCCTGGAACATTGAGCTGCCAGTCCCGTCCATCCCTGAGCCACGTCTCTCTAATTGCTATTATATCCCAAGCCCATGTTCCTAACCATGTCCTAAGTTCATCTGCCTTACCTGTTCAGCCTCTTGCATTGAAATAAATGCAGTTTAATTTATCAGTCCTACCTTCTTCTCTGCTTTGTTCTTGCCTTCCCTGTCTGTTTGGCTTACTCTTTTTTCTAACTGTACCGGTCTCAGACTGATCACTTTCCTCACTATCTCCCTGGGACCCCCACATCGCCTAACTAGTTTAAATCCTCCCGAGCAGCTCTAGCGAGTCTCCCAGCCAGTAGCAATTCAGGTACAGTCCGTCCTCCTTATACAGGTCACTTCTACCCCAGACGATATTCCAATGATCCGAAAATGTGAATCCTTCTCCACTGCACCAGCTCCTCAGCCATGTAATCATCTGCTCTATCCTCTTATTCCTACCCTCACTAGCTCATGACCCTGGGAGTAATCCAGATATTACTACTCCGAGGACCTACTTCTTAAATTCCTGCCTAACTTCTCTCTCCTCAGAATCTCATTCTTTTCTCTTCCAATGTCGTTAATTCCAATGTGTACAACAACCTCCTGCTGGTCTCTCTCCCCTTTGAGTATATTCTGCACCCTCTCTGAGATATCTTTGATCCTGGCTCCAGGGAGGCAACACACTATTCTGATGTCTCACTGGACCCAAAACGTTAATTCTGTTTCTCTATCCACAGATGCTGCCAGTCCTGCTGAGCTTTTCCAGTAATTTCTGTTTTTGTTTGCTCTAAATCTTTCCTATCCATGTACCTGTCCAGATGTCTTTTAAATGTTGTAATTGTACCAGCGTCTATCACTTCCTCTGACAGCTCGTTCCATGTATGCACCTATTCTCTGTATGAAAAAGTTGTCCCTCAGGTCCCTTTAAAATCTTTTCCGTCTTAAACCTATGCCCTTTAGTTTTGGACTCCCCTACCTTGGGGAAAACATCTTGACTGTTCACCTTATTTATGCCCCTCATGATTTTATAAACCTCCGTAAGGCCACCCCTCAACCTCCGATTCTCCAGAGGAAAAAGGTCCCAGTCTATCATCATCATTGGCAGTCGTTAGTTGATGAGGATGACTCTGTTCAATCTCAGGGTAAATCTGTAAGTGGCTGTACAGACCCAGCCTATCTAGCCTCTCCTTATAACTCAAACCCTCTGGTCCTGGTAACATCCTTGTAAATTTTTCTTTGTCACCTACATAATTGCAGAGGCTGTGAAAATGGACTGTCTGGTACAGATTGAAATCTGGCCCTCTCAATATAGACTAGGAATGTATTACTGTTTCTTCACTGTTGCTGGGTCAAAATCTCCTAATGGCACTGTGGTTGCGTCTTCACTACCTCAGCTAATGGCGGTTCGAGAGGCAACTCACCACCAACTTCTCAAGGGCAATTAGGGATGGGCAATAAATACTGGCTCAGCCAGCGACAACCACATCCTGTCAAAAATAAAATATATCCCATTTCTATCTCCTTCTCAGAATTGGCAAACGTCAACTTGTCCTTAGAATGATAGAATGACAGAATTAT